AAGCAACTTTTCCCTCCTTCTTGTTATAGCTCAGACATTCTGCTGGGCTAAGGTCTAAAGATCAACAAAGCCTTGGTGTGAGATACCAACAAGAAACACAGACAAATCCAAAGGTGTCACACAATATCTTATGGGGCAGATCTCACAGCCAGCAACTTTCCTCTACTGCCTGCTCCCTCCCTGCGACTTCTCTATCAGAAGCCCAACTCTTCCCCTTACTCTAAATGTTCCCACAACTGTCATCAGCTCTAAAAATCCCTGCACCGAATTCTCCTTCCCAGTCCAAATTCAAATCCACTGTAGGTTCATCTGTATTCCAAGAGAACTTTGTTTTCTTTTTCTTGCCTTCCCTCAATCCTTTTAATCCTCTAGTTCAAGCAATTAGCTCTACAAATATTAGCTGCAATCAAGGTCTAGCACATGTGGTAATTTTCCCTCTAATAAATCAATCAATTCTTTCCATGGAGTGTTTTTTTCCCTTACAGTCATTAGAGAATTACAATGCTACTTGAGGATCACCAGCAACTTGAATTAGTCAAGGAATGTCAATCAAATTTGCCAGATTTTGCTTTAAAGATGAGAAAAATGGGATAGATTCACAAAGGCCTCTTGTCTTAGAATAGGAAGCTTGATAGACTCTCGTTGAATCTCTTTCAGAGAGACCTCCAGTATAATGATCCATTTGGAGGAAAATCAAAATCAGTACTACCAGTGACAAATCAGACAAAAGGCAGACCCTCTCATTAAATAATCTAAAAATTAATAATTAGAATAATCAACCATGCACTGTCTGTAGGCAATGCAATATTCTAGCATTGCTAACAGGTTAGCACAGCAAAGAAAAAAGAAATAATCTAGCAAATAGACAAATTCTAGTTCCATAACTTACAAAAAAAATTTTGTTTTCTTTTGTTAGATGGAAACTAAAGGATGCAAACTGTGCTTCTCAGAGCTGACTTTAGGGTTGGGGGTAGGGAGCCCTAGGGAGTAAAGACTGAGGGGGTCCAGTGGCAATTCCTTGACCACCCATCCTCCCAGTATAGCAGCTCAATTTTTATCTCATTCACCCAAGAGTTCAGTTGAGGCAATGGTTTTTCTGCTTAAAAATGGTTTGAGAATCACCTCTGTAGCCTAGACCACTCTTTTCACAAATACGTAAAATGAATGCGAGAGAGTGAGAGAAATTAAGAAATTCTTAATTTAATGATAGATTTGGAAACAGATTCATGCTGTCTTTTACACTTGAGGAGCAAATCAGGTAAGAATTTACATGTCTTTGAATTTGGGCTTTTTTTTATTTTTGGCTTTTGTTTTCAAATGGGCTTAAAGAAAAACTAATGCCGCCAAATTAGTGTGAGAAGAGGCATGAATGCTATATGGGAAGCAAAAACAGAATCTGCAGTTGTGCTCCTTTCTAGTCACTCTGAAGAATCATATCATTCATTATCTGGCACCTGAAAGGGGTCATAGGAGGGGAGGCCTAGTTCCATTTCCTATGTCACCAAATGTATTCCTATTAAGATTGAGAGAAGTAAAGATTTCAGCAGGATACTTGGTGAAAACTTGCTGACATTAATGACTCAAATTCTCAGAGAGACTGCAAGGAAAATGGTGTTATCACTGTCATTGAAGACATTTAAGATGAAATTTCAAAAGAAGGCTGTCAGGCATAATGACTGCCAGATTCCATTATATCATTCTCAGAGGGTGGATCACACACACTACTATGCAGCCTGTGGGTGGCTGATATTGAAGTTTGAAAGGAAGCTGTACAGAGAAGAGGTGAGACAGGTGTAGGGCCTGAGGGGGGCTGTCCCTCATGGCCAGGATACACCCCCACTGACATTCACATAGTGATCTGAGGGTAAATCTATGATCCAAATCTATGATTTGGGGGTGAAGCCTGGTCTTTAGTCTTGGATATGCTGAAAGCTGACCCCATCAGGACATTTAGACAAGGTCAAGCTCTTGGTGCTGACAAAATTCGGGAAGGTTTGACCTATAAATGGTAATGCCTATTTATCAATTTACTATGAGCATATTCCTCTCTAGTGACCGAAATGTTCATGTCTGCAAGTATTTCAGCACTGAGATACCTGCAAAGCCCAGTTAGTAATCATAAAGTGTCTATGTGAGAATGGGTAAGTGCAGCAGCTTCCAAACTTGGCTGCACACTGCAATCATCTGGGGTGATTCGACACCAAGGTCATACGCTGACATCAAATAAATCTGAATCTCAGGGATGAGGATGCAGACTTCAGGATTTTAAAATCTTCTCAAGTGATTCCAATGATCAGCAAAGCTGAGAACCACTGGCTCAGAGCAAATGGCCCTTTCCACTCAGGGAGCTTTTATGTCATAGACCAGTGGGTTTTGTTTCATGTTAAACTGGGAACGGACATAGTTTTGCCAATTTTTTAATTTGTCAGGTAAGGACATTAAAAATTTGACTACCATCATTTCATTAAGAAAGGAAATTTTAACAACAAAAAGTAGGAAGAACATAATTTCAGGATAAAAGATTAACTCACTATGTTGTATTTATTTTTCTCATGTCTCTGTAGAACAGTGAACACTTCGCTACAGACTGACACAGACTTAAGAACTGACGTGATCAAATTGCTCTCTACATCCACAATCAAAGCTTTCCTTCTTGGGCAGCTTTAGATACACTTGGCTGAGTTTTGGTTAATTAAACCACTCTCCTATGCTAACCGTCCCTCTCTTGCCATATCCATTCTGTGGAGGTATTAATAGTATTGATTAAGTTGTACATAATATCTGCTCCCAGGCTTTGGAAATGTTTAGTCTCTCCCAATTACAGAATATGTTGATTTAATAAGCTTAACTTTCCTTAGACATCTTAAACTAAGTGTTCCAGGGTGGGTGTGACACATACATGCCCAGATAACCACTTGTTAGGGGCACTGGTACCCACTTGTTTTGCTAGTAGACAAAGATGGCGATTATGCTAAGCCCAGCAGAATTCACTGGAAAGCCAGATAACCTGTGATGAGTTGTTCATTCTGTATGTCAAGTTACACAAAATAAAAAGACTTATTGTCAACCTTATTTTGAGTGCCAATTTTGAATCTTCTACACTCCCAATTCTTCTGTGGCCATGGTTTTTATTGCCCCACTCCTCCCCCAAATGTGCATTGGCATTCTTGAATCAGTTCTGTACTTAGTTGTCTATCCTTAACAAGACAAGCTCTGGCAACTCCTAGGAGAGGGTAGCTGTGTGAGAAGTTTACCGATACTCCGAGACTACACCCTAAAGTTCACTTCAAAGTATGCATCATGTAGAAACTCATTTATGCTGAGAATGATGTGAAATAAATCTTCATTTATTAATTTCTTCTAAGCTATCATGCTTAAAGGCGGATCAAGAGATTAGAAGCAAGCATAAACTTGTGCTTTTGGCTATCTGGGAAAGTTCTATTTGCAGATGTCTGTGTTCTTCAAGCACCCAAGATGTGTTAACTAATAATAGGACACTATGCCCTATGTTACTCCCAGCCCAACTAAACCAAACTAAAGTGCTTGCCATCGCTTCAAGGTCAGGGAATTTGCTTAGAATAGCATATATACCTCAGAATTAGAAGACCTGGATTTGAATCCCAGTCCACTACTATCTTCAGCAAGTTGTGTGTAAACTCTCTGAGTTTTAGCTTCCTTACATATAGGATGGGGAGATCATCATCATCTTTCTCTACTTCTTTACATGGTAATTGTTAATAACTCAGGTAATACATTTAGCGAAGTGCCAGACATACAAGTTCTTACTAAAGTTAACTTTGTAGATCAGAGTTCAGCGCAATAACATAGCATACAATATCCAGCAAGCACTTCCTGAGACACAGACACACACACACACACACACACACACACACAGACACACACACACACACACACACACACACACACACCCCGCAGTCCTACATCTGTTTGCAGAAAGAGGAATCTCATTGGAAATGCAGAGGTAAAGAGCTGGCAGTGAATTCTGAACTTTAGTTTTCAGGTCTTGACAATTTAACCAAACCCACCTTGCTACTTAAGCTGGCTCATGACTTTGCCTCTTGTCTCCCTAACTGACTACCTCTGCTGGCACCTTTGCCTTTCTATGGAGAATTCTAAGAGCCATCTATCTGACCACAATCCTTCTTTCCACGAATATGCCCTTGTCTTTACAGATTCTGGTATTCTTTGGACTTAGAATCACATTCCCTTGCTATTCTCCTGAAGCAGCCAAACTCATTAAAGGAAAACATTTAGAAATCTAGATACTTGCACCTGCATCTACATATTTTTGTGTGCCAAGAAGAATTTGAATCGAATTCTCTATTGATACATCAGTTCTAAACCATGAATCTGGGAGAAATGGAGTTAGGAGGGCAAGCCCCCATAGTTGGTCTCTGACACTTCATATCCACATACGACCCAATTCAGTTTAATATTTTTATTCTGCTATAATTAGAATTTTTCAAAATCCATTAATTATCAATACACGTACATATGTTCTCCCTACCTCTGCTAAAGCTCCCTCCCCCCCACCAAACAAAAGCAAAAATAAAAACATATCAATAAATGAACTTCTCAAGTTGCTGAAAATTTACCATAGTATTCAAGCCTGTTTCTGAAAGTTTCATCTCCCCCAGTCAGACAAAAGGCTAAGGAAGGGAAGCATTTATCAAGTTACAGGGAGGACTCCATCTGTTATCTTAGACCTTTGTTACCAAGTGACACAAGAGGAGATACTTGAAGGCAGTTCGAAAGAGTCTTATTTTACAGATTCTTAGTCCAAAGATTTCGAATTGGAGAGAAGCAGCAGCAGCAAAGGAGAAAAGCCAAGTGTGAGTGATGAAGAAACTACCTTCTGACATTTAACCTGGTGAGAACCACTGTCGATGGTGAAGTCGCCTTTTCAGCAGGGATCTGTCTGTTCAGCTTCTATAATAAATGCAGTCAAAGGGGCCGTCCCTTCTCGTTGCTCACAAAGGTCTTGTGTTTGAACTTCGCCCTCAAAAAAGCCATTTCTCATCATGCCAAACCAACAGAAGAAAATCATTTTTTGCACGGCTGGGGTGTTAAGCTTTGCGTGTGCCCTGGGAGTTGTGACAGCACTGGGGACCCCCTTATGGATCAAAGCCACCATCCTCTGCAAAACTGGGGCTCTGCTCGTCAATGCCTCTGGGCAGGAGCTGGACAAGTTCACGGGAGAGATGCAGTACGGGCTTTTCCACGGAGAGGGTGTGAGGCAGTGCGGGTTGGGAGCGAGGCCCTTTCGGTTCTCATGTAAGTAGCAATTGGATTTGAATTATTTAATACTTTAGGCAGACTCTTCCACGTGTTGGAAGGAATTATTTTTAAGAGTCTTGCCATTTCTATTGCAGAACATTTTGAACCGGTGTGAACCATTTGAAATATCTAGGACTCTGAGTGAGCCATTTCTTCTTCCTAGTTTTTATTATTTTACTTGTTTTTATTAATTATTTCATTCTTGCTATTTTTATTATGATAACACATAGTTAATTAGTTATTATGTAATTAAGCTTTTTGAAAATGTAAACAATTAAGATTCTTAAATATTAAGATTTATTAAGAAATTATGGAGTCTTTTTTCAAAAGGGAATATGGGGAAATAGGAAAGTTACAAGAAATTATCTTCGTGACTTTTGTTCTTTAGAAAAGGACCAGTGTCCTGGGTTCCTTAACTAATCCCCTAATCCTACCTGCTTTTCGACTTTGTTCATGATTTTGTTTCCTGTCTCCTCCCTGCCCCCCTTTCCTACTGGGACCTTCAGTGCTGATAAATATTCTGTTTTCATTTTTTGCCAATTTGGAATCAGTTGGCTGTAGAAATTTAAAACTATCTGTTGTGCTAACTGGGAAAGAAATAGATGCCTATTTAGTGTAGAAAATTTGCAACTGATTGACCTTCAAATCATGTAGAGAATATGAGATAGATTTTCCTGTCGTGATTTTGTGAAATGGAAGTGTTATCCGCAGTATTTATAACCTGTTTATCTTAAGAAGAGAATTTTTAAAAAATTACCATGTGAATAGGCAACTTATTAAATGAAAATTAATAAGAAGTCATTTGTTATATCTCTCACAACACACATTCAGAAGTTATTATTATTTCAAAAGGGCTGGTTTGGAACAATCTTACGAAGACACAGTCAGTAAATTACTGCATAAATCACTCTTCAGGAAAGGAGGTTACCAATTGAGGCATTTAAAATGAATTATTTTGTCTGGGTTTTTTTTCCCTCTAGTATAGGTAGAAGACTAAATTAATTGAATTTATTATTAACATATGCAATGTCTAATTAAATTTCAGTGCTGACCTGTTTATATTTCTGCAACATTCCTTATATCTTCTAGCCGTCACTGGGCACCAACCTTCAACTCACATAGGTTACCAAGGGATACGAATTTTCACAGGGCTCCAGAAAATTTCCAAGAATTAGTTTTCAGCTTTTCAACTGAGGAAGTGGATACAAAGTCTTTTCACTGAATGGCTTTAAGTTCATTACAGTAAAGACCTGCTTCGTTTTCCTCCGGAGGGATGGGAGAAGAGAACAAAGCAGAATGGTATGCGATATGCAACTGTATTAAATAACAAAAAAGGGGGAAAAATGAGTGAAATGATTTCACCATGAGTCACTGGCAGCCAAAGTGAGAGTAAAGCTCCTCACAAATGAATTTAGACAAAAGCAGGGAACATATGGTGAATTTTCTGGAGCCTTTGCATTTTCTACAGTGAAACAGAGAAAAGCTTTACTCCTACCACGGGACATGTTTCAAAACAATAATAATACTTTGATATTATTACTATACATTAAGCACTTTATATACTCTGTCTCGTTTAATCCTTAGACAGCCACATTCTTCTGTGGTTCGATGAATGATTTTTGTGGCTGTGTCCTATGCTGATCTTTTAGTGGTCTCCAACATTTTTGGCACCAGGGAGTGTTTTCACGGAAGACAATTTTTCCATGGACCAGGGGTGGTAGCGGGGATAGTTTCGGGATGATTCAGGCACATTATATTTATTGTGCACTTTATTTCTATTATTATTACATTGTAATATATAATGAAATAATTATACAACTCACCATAGGTTGGGGACCCTTGCAGAGGATGAATTTGTTCTAATCAGGTGCCCCCCTCTTCACTTTGTGTGAGGACCGGCAGAGCTGGTGGGGTTTAAACAGAACCCTCACTAATCTCACAGAATTACATTAGTCCCCATAATACCCTGAACATTTTTCTCGTTGCCTAGTGAAGAAACTCTTACAGTTGCTAGTTTGTTCTGCAGTGACAATTCTCTCCATATACTACAGACTATACATGTTAAGTATACTCTATACAGTATGCATGTTAAAATCTCATTCATTTTGGTGAGGCCGGTGAAGTGTATTTAGAGTATAACTTTTTTCTGCCTAAGCATAAAAGTATCTCTTTCAATGCAACATGAGAGAGAGTTGGGAAAACTGTAGAATAAATAGTGCCAACGGGCACCCCAAAGAGCATAATGCTCATTTAAATACACACCTTTAATTAAATAAACATTCACCCTGTCAATGATGTTTCATCAGTGTATCCTTGAAGAAGGAGAGTCCTCTGATACTCTTCCTAGTAGAAAAGGATAAGCCCTATTAATGTAAATAAATAAGTGCTCTAACCTTGCCTTCTCAATAACGGCTTCCTTGGAGCAAAATTCGGGGGCCTCCAGGGAGCTCAGGTGGATGATTCTTTTCTGTTTCTTCCAGAACCCAACTTAGGATTAGAACACAACTCATTTCCTAGAACTTCCCTCTTTCTCATTGTCCCTCTAGAAAGTTATTAAGCAAACACTTGGATTTGCAGAAACTTTCCAGTGTAGGAGGAATAGAAAAGGTAACTTATCAAAGTATCAATCACCTCATGGCCAGTTTTCTTCACGTTGTCATGTTATCATCAGTTAATATGAATTTACACTTCAATTCTGTTGGATTGCTAAATGCTATTTTACTTAACCAAACTTTTCATTTTAGATCAGCATTGGTCAATAGAAATATAATGCAAGCCATAAACACAAGCTACATATGTAATTTTAAATGTTCTTCTAGTAGCCAGATTAGAAAACAAAAGTAAAAGGAAGACAGGTGAAATTAATTTTAATGATATATTTTCTTTAACCCAAGATATCCAGAATACTATCATTTTAACATGTAATCAATATAAAATTATTGAGCTATTTTATATTCTTTTTTTTTTTCTTGGTGCTAAGTCTTTGAAATCTAGTGTGGTATTTTACATTTATAGCACACCTAATTCAGACTAGCCACATTTCAAGTGCTCATTTTAATGGCTACTGGATTGGTCAGTATGGATTTAGATGGAGATTCGCTCTGAATAAATGCACCATCAACAGTGTCCACATTCTAATTTGAATTTTTGCTTGGTTCTGCTGTTAAGTTCTATGTGTGCTATTTTTATGTGCAATGCTTGTGTCACTTTTAAAACCCAGTGATACAGTATAACATGAGAATGAAGAATGGGCCAGAAAAATAATTTGGCAATGTAGTCATGTTTGTTCCTATTAAATGTTCCCTATTGACCACTGTCTCTCTCTTAATTATAACAAGAATCTGCCCTGCCAGCATGCACAGTTATGCTGGGAAAACTTCTGCCTCGTTTACTCTGGCTGATTCTCATCCATTTATGGGTCAGTGGTTCATTTTCTAGAGGTCACTAGCATTCATACCTAGCACACAATTTCATTCATTATAATGAAGGAATGTTTTCTTTTCAAGGCAACACAACTGGTAGGCTTAATTTTTCCCGGTATGTCACCTGTAAAATTTTAATGATGATGTTTAAACTCTAAATGTAGCCATCAAGACAAAAACTGCCAGTTTTAAGCTCAGCGTGTGTGGGTGGGTTTCTGTTTTGGTGGTTTGAAACACTGCAGAACATCATCAAAATATGATACCCAAGAATCATATGGTATTAATCATTCCTAGATATACTGATCTATTCATTGCCAAGGCAGTTCAATGAGCTGGTAAAAACATATGGAATTATTTTTTGAAATGTGGAAAATAAAATTTAGCCAATCATGTATCATCACAGCTTGCAACTTTAGTCATACTTTGAAAAGCATTTTAATTTGGACCTTATGATTGAAAATTCATAAAAAGCTAAACAGAAATTTAGCTTAGAAAAGCAGAGTTTCTTTACTAAATGAGGCATTTGACCCAGATTGGAGAGGATGTTGACGCTCCATCTGTGAGCAAGCAGGTGGCTTCTCAAACATATTTTGAGACAGAATAGTTGGGGCTCAGGTCTCTGTGACTATCACTGAGAGTTGGCACTCTCTAACTCCATGGTCTCCTGAAAGTGTGACTTTGCTCCTGCTGACCTGGGCTGCCCCGGTGACCCACTCGTCACCATCCTGCCCACCCTGCATCTCTCCTATCGCCCTGCCCATGGCAGAACTACCAAGGTCTTTGATGTATCTCCTTCTGATAACACTGCCTGTCTCTCCTCCCTTCCTTAGTGCATAGCCTGTGTAGAAGAAGGTAGGAGGGTTGGGTGGGGTAGGGTTATGGGGGGAACCTAAGGAGTTCTCCTGGGAAGATTACCCGATGTGGGGAAGGGAGGAGGGTGTCACTTGCACCATTTCACCAGCAAGCATGGCATCTCCTGCCTTTAGCTTAGGGGCCCTGTTTCCTAATCTCATTCACCTATTAAAACAGTTCAGCAAATAGAGGTTTTGCTTACCTCCCACTGGGAAAAAAGTGATTAATGAAATAGAAGGTAGTAATGTGTGAGAAGCACTGGTATGAAAGAAAAACCTTCAACTTTTCTCAGCCCAACAATTGTTTTCTCCTCTGTCCCCTCCCCCAGACTTTGATGTTTGCCCTATTCTTTCAAAACACCTGTTAAGTATTTGACAATGTGTATTTCTCTGCAAGATCTTAATCCCCAAGAAGGCAGGGGCTGTGTATTCTTCACCCCAGTATTCCTTCAAATCAGGGCCTAGGACTGTGCATGGCACAAAGAGGTACCTAATAAATGTTTGGTAAACTGACGCTATAGAGGTTAAGCAATCTAGACCTGAGGTATGTCTCTGCCACTCACAAGAGATTAGATCTTGAGCAAATCCTATCACTTCACTGATTTTCAGTTCTTGCATCTGTAAATGGGAGGTAAAACCAGGTGATTTCTAACATCTCTTACAGATTAAATGCTCTCTGATCTATATAATGAGGGGCTGGCTGTTCTAGACAAGGTCCTTCCAG